ATATGATACAATGGCATATGCTACATAAATTTTTGAGTTTTTTTTTTTTCAGTTTACAATCTTTTTTGTTCAGTGTCATTTTTATTATTATTTTTTTTTTTTTTAAGTTTTCAAAAAATAAATTTTTAGAACAAACTTTATGTCCCCAATTTGGCTCCACAGTCACCATTGGTCACTTTCTCTATARGTCAAATTTCTGATCCTATGATTTTGACCACGCTTATTTTCGTTGATTCTGCTTGATACTGATTCTTGTTGCTTTCAAGTCGTAATAGTTGAACTTCTCTTTGAAAAGCTCATGTCTGACCTGAGCTTTTTCTACCTGTATGTTCAGCAGGTATGAGGTGGTGAGGCTGCTGTGCTGTAGGAAAGCATGCAGACCCTGGGAGAAGACCAGGGTGTCTGGACAGAGAGGGTCCCTGCAAAACTGGGAGTCCGTGAGGTCGGTCACGTTCTGCACTTCCWCCAAGCTGTCTGTTTTCAACACTTCACACACCTCGTCCAGACTGCAGGGGAAAAAAGAATACATTTTTTTCTTTGCGACTCACATATTCCAGGGTGTTTCAGTGAAATGCAGATACACCAGGGGTTTGGGGTTAACGGCTTTACAAGAACACAAACAGCAGCCATAGATGCTGCAGCCTCCTGACTCATTACACCCCAGTGAACTTTACCGACTCATAAACTCACTGAAGAAGCTTCCTCACCCCTAAAACATCCTCGTATCTTCAAACACACCGGGTACCACGCTGTTGATTATTTTACTTTTACTGCAACAAGGTCAGGTGGACAAAARTGGGAAAATTCACAATAAATATGGATTTTTATTTGCAATAAAATATAAAATGGTATGGCCTGGTCTGGTTAAAGAAAAGGGCATAACTTTAATCTCCCTTTTTGTGTCAGGACTGCAGAAGCTGAATATGGCCATACATATGTGCTGTTTTTCATTTTAATGCAATTTTCTCTAAATCACATGTTTATTATTCGTTTATAGCCAATAGCAGTAGTTTTTTTTTTTTTTGAGAAAATAAACTTGTTTAAAAAAAAGCAGAATGCTTTTGGTGCTACAACTCACATTACTCAGGATATTTCTTTAAAACCAACAGTCTTTTATTTTATTTTGTTCTGCTCTGTCTACACAGATTTAACAAACTCCTTAAGCCCACACATACACATTACRAATCAAAATACAGAGAACATTTTAACTGTTTACATGTTTCTCTTATTTACAAACTGCATCAGAGTTTGATGGAAACAAGTTCAGAATAAAGTAAGACCAGTGTTTTATAAAGTACCTCAAAGTGATACTTGAGTAAAAGTACAAGTATCTTACCATAAATTTATTTTGGTAAAAGTTCAAGTCTCCTCTAAGAATATTACTTGAGTACAAGTCTTAAAGTATCTAATATATTTTTTACTTAAGTATCAAAAGTAAATTTCTATGTAAAACGTACTTAAGTATTAAAAGTAAAAGTATTGAGTAAAAATGAGTGGCTGTACTTCCCAAAATGATATTTATTGGGAGGTGATACCCTCAAAAATGTTTTTCTAAAGGCCAAAATGACTATATTGTCACATAAAAATGTTAATGTTAAAAAAATTAGGATGCACTAGTCTACCTGTTTCAGCTTATATTATATATACAGTATATTTAACTTTTTTTAAAGCAAATGCTGCAGAAAATCTTGGTTTTYAAAGATGTCTGYATGGACCCCAATTTATTGTCGAACACTTGTGAGATGATTATTGATGGATGRATTTTGATGTGACATTTTCATCTTAAATCTGTACTCCTTTTGCTTCAATTATGACTCTGAAATGATTTCAACATGTCATGAGAGGACAACTTATTAAACATGAAAACAAGTGTTGTCACTTCAAGCTAATAAGACAAATGACTCGTTATCACAGCGACATCATTGATTGGGAATCAGAAAGCTGCACCTTGTCCTGAGTMTATGGACCCATCCATACACAGGCTGGCGTTTTGCTTGGTGCTCTTTGGTTCTGAGAGAATCAGACAGAAAACTAGAGACTCTCTCCAGCCTCTGCCTCACTCTGCAGTGAGCCAGGGCGGCTTGCAGCTTGGTTTTCCACCTGCAACAAACATGTCATGCCAGAACAAACTCTCACAACAAGTAAATGGGCCGACTTTAAARGTTTTAATGTTTGTTTGCACACGCGTACCTGTGGAGCCTTCTCTCCAGGTCTCTGACATCTTCCACGGCCTCCTGGCCTTCCTTTGTGGGTCGCTGACTCAGCAGAAACTCTCTGTCCTGGAAGTCAAACAGCATTACCATCGCCAACGGCAAAATGCCGCTGTGCTGAAAAGCATAATTGAGGTAGCAAAATTAGCTTTTTATAGCMGTTTGGACCTAAATTAGAGTAAAATAATAAAAAAATACACTTTTTAATCTCATCGCCAGGAAGGGCAGGCCATCGTATTTGTCTTTACTCGTCTGTTAGCAAATGGATTTTTTTAAACCTTCAAAGGTCRATAAAGTAACTGGAAAAAAAGAACCAAGTAAAAGTAAAATTACATGAACAGGAAATGACTTTGGAAAAAATTAATTTCACTGATTATTTTATTTTACCGTTATTTAACCAGGCAAGTCCCGTTGAGATCGCAGATCTGTTTTTCAAGGGAGGCCTGGGCCTGACGGCAACCTATTGTACGTTTTTTAGGGGTGGGGGGAACCGGAGTACCCAGAAAAAACCTACGCGAGGAGAACATGCAAACTCCACACAAAAAAGCCCCATGTCCGAACTGTGGATCAAACCCAGGACCTTCTTGCTGTGAGGCGTCAGTGCTAACCACTGAGCCGCCGTGCTGCCAAAACACTGATGAGAAAACTACTCAAGTAAAAGTCATAAAACTGTTATTTCTTTAAGAAATAAACTGTTGAATTTACTGAACCAAACTGGCTCCACTAAGCCAGGTTGAGTAAATTGAGCAATATATGTATATTATTTGCTCAACTTACTCGACTAGGCTTAGTGGAGCCAGTTGACATGACTTTGTTGAGTAAATTCAACACGTCACTATTTTTAGAGTGCAGAAACATCTTTCATGAAGAGTTCGAACATATTTAATTTTGTAATGAGTAACTAGGTGTTACATTTTAAAGTAAAGAAGTAAACATATCATTGTTAGCTTTAAAATGTAATGAAATAAAAGTAAAAGTAGATATTTAAAAAATAAGTGGTAAATTACAAATCCTAAAAAAAAAACTACTTAAGTACTGTAACACAGTAAATGTACTTAGTTACTATAAACCTCTGTAAACCTCTTACAATTAATCATGTTAGTTGTTGTTTTTGTTAACCATTATTAAAGCAGTTAATCCAGCCTTTGCCAACACAAAAATATCTACAGATATTGAGCAGAAACTTGTTTTGGCAGTAGCTGATAGTCATCTCCAAAACACACTAACAGATCAGAGACGCCATTCAGTGCAGCAATATTTGTTCAACGAATGTTAGTTTATGATTTACGGAGCCCATGAGGGGACATGGGGGGATTTTTTTCTTTTGTATTCCCATGCAATACCTTTGCGTTCCCTCGCAATACTTTTGCGTTCCCTTGCAATACTTTTGCGTTACCTTGCAATATTGTTTTGAATAAAGTTTGAATAAAGTTTGATTTGTATATTGAATTAAATCATACTTTTATTTTGAAATATTCGGTTACTAAAACAGGATGTGTCGCTACAAGTTCGTGAAATTGACTTTGATGTTGCATGGCTGCACTGTGTTCAAATATCAGCATATGACATACTTCCATGTGTGGTTGTGTGATATTTTCATTCTGACGCTGAATTAAAGCAGTAGGCTAACTCGCTAATGGTGACCATGTGAGTTTGTTAATAAACCGGCAAACACAACAGTGATAAATGACTTTTGCGAGGGAARGCAAAAAGAAAAAAAAAAACCATGTCCCCTTGCGGGCTCAGTAATGATTTATGAAAAAAGGGGCAGACAAAATAAGATTTATTCTTCTTCTGCTACCTTTCATTTTATTTTGATTTGTATATATTTTTTGGTTTTGCTTTATTTTTTATTATTGTATATAGTATTTTTTAATGAAATTAATACATTTTTTGAATTGAATTGAATTGAAATTGAATTTTTAATCCAAATGTCCACATTTGATCAGGATCTACTGTATTTGACTTCTGCACAGGCCTTCCTTTGAACCTGCTTTGCTCCAGTGCAACCATGATGGGTGACACCGAACCTTCTTTTAAAATGCGAGACCAATAGATGGAGCATGACTGCGTGGGTAGACGTTGGAATGTGAACGTTGCAGTAAAGGTGTGTACTGAATAATAAACAGATCTGCTGTGGTTTTATCGTGTCGCTCTCAGACTAACAACCTCTCAGTCAATTTCCTGTTTCAGTCATTCCTCATAAAGTCACCACAAACACAGAAAAGCACACAGGTTAAATGTGCCTCATAATCCACGTATGTGTCATTGCACAGGGTTTATAGTGTAATTTACAGTCCTCAGATTGTAGAATGTGTCGTCTTCATGTGCATCACTCAGAAACCAACCAGACTACAGAATACACTGAATACAAATTTGTTTTAAACGGCSCCGCTGCTTGTTCAACATGCAGAGAGACTCGATCAGTTTGGACTTGTGAACAAACAAACGTCCAGTAGTGCGGGACTCACGATATTCTGAGCTGTGTGGAAGCAGCTGCCGGTGATTACGTCCTCAAGTAGGTCCTGATCTAGAAAGAAAATAATGATGATAAACAGAGAAATAAGCATCAGCAGATTTTCCCAGCAGAGGAATCTGAACAAGTTGGATCCACCAAGTTAGGCATAATCATATTTTTGATTAAATTTTGCCCCGTCCTGCACATATTTTTGATTCAATTTTCCCGAATGTACAGATAGGAACACGCTTATCTTACATTTCTGTAGTGGAARAAATGTAATGTGATTTTGTTAGATGTTTCTTATTGTAATAATTCTTTAAGATTTTTTTAGCAAAAACTGCTGACAACAAAATCATCTAAGACGTGAAGACTCTTGACAGGTATTTGAAAAACAATAATAAAGAAAAGCTCTTTTGGACATTTCAGTGCAGCTGGAAATAGCATAGTATAAAGTTTAAACAGAATAAAAATAATATTAATGTTCATTTAGAAACATGTCCTATAAAATTAAAGAAATAGTTGGATATTTAAAGTTCATATGACATCATTTTTTTGTAATAAACATGAATGCATTTTTAGAAAGATGGCATTGAAAAAGAAATTCACATCACTGAAATGAACAGTTGAGATGTCCAGGTGAGATAACAGGACGTGATGTCAGAGGGGAATGTCTGCATGTGAACAGAGCTTTGCTACAATGGCTGACAACACAAACTGTAGAGAAGAATCTCATGTTTCTTTAGATTATTTTGAGTCACAGTCAGTTTAGATAATACTGTTTCAAAAAACAAAGATCAGAGAGTRCTTGCGTGGCACTTCCTATTTCACTTCGGCTGAGCCAAGTTAAAAGAAAATATGTGACAGTTATGTGACAAAATGAATAAAATAACGAGTTTTATGCCAAGTTTCTAAAATGTTTTCTTTGACCTTTTCCTATTTAAAGGACATGCATGTCTTTAATGTTTTAAATTTCTGGATTTATTTTAAAATGTGTTCTTAGTAYGAAAACATGTGTTTTCACAGAACCCAAATAATTGTCATTTTTTTATTGTCTGTTTTGGCTTGAAGTGGTGTTGAAATCTTTGCAGGTTTAAAGGTCATTTATACACCTTTTTAGTTTGAACAAATTCAAAATAAAACCCACATAACATGTAATGCACATGTACGCAGCGTTTTATACAGTGTATTTTTATAAACGTGTCTGTTGCACCTCTTATCACCTCCCACACAGACATCTGCTGCACCTCCGGTTCAAGTGATTTGCAGTCACATGGGAAAATGAAATGTGCAGTTATATACTATTTAATCTACAGTCTGCTGCAGCTGAAGGTGCCATTCAACCAGCAAATACTGGGGTTGAGGCTCTTCGGCTTTTCATTACAGAGATAAGGCTCGGGGTCTGATGGGGGTGTGGCGATGAGAGCCGTTCAAATTAATTTCACTTTTGAGTTTAACCATCAGTCCACYCTTCCCTGGCAGGTCATGTGCCACAACTGGAACCACAGAACATTTGGGCACTGATATTATGACGGGTTGCTTGTTTCTGTAAAGTGTGACCTTACATTTGAGTGTGCTGAAGGCGAGCTGGTAGGCTTGTCTCTGGGTGGCGTGGTTTTTGTTCCCAAGCAGTGGCATGCTGGTCTTTTTTTCATATTGCAGACATTGCTGTTCTGCTGGCTTCTCTTTGTGCAGCTGCTGGAAGATGGCTGCTGCCTGGAGGTAGACCTGATCTGATGGAAGGTTGACTGAGGAAAAGGAGCYTGAGATAGTTCTAGTCAGACATTTACATGCACTCATTGTCAAAGTCTAAATTTTAGTTTATATTTTCACCCTCACCAATCCACACAGAGTCAAAATTGCGGCTGGTAGTTTTTCCTTTGCCAGGATGAAAATGAATTGTTTGACAGCCACCTTAAAGCTCAATAAACAAGTCAAATACCTTCTTGAGTCTAAACACAAATGGAGACTAGGTTCTGATTGTGTTGATGGGGAAAGGGAAGTCTCTTAGACCTGTTGTCTCTGTGACCTGGCTATGGATAAATGGTAGAAAATGGAGATCAAATACCATATATGCAGTAAAAACTATGCAAAAAAAGGAAATTTGTGTTTGGTAGATTATTTCTTTGTTACAAAAACTGAATACTGAGCTCATAAAAGAGGTCAAAATGTGAACAAAACTACAGTAGCTGCACAAACAAAACACAACCAACCTCTCTCAAAAATGACACACAAGGTCACATGTATACACTGGCTGACCAGACCATTACAACACAGTAGGGGTAATTAAACACAATGCAATCACTAACTGCAAGAAACAAGTTTGCTAATAAACTAAACACCAAAGAAGAAAATCAAAAATATTAAACTCTAAATGCAAATAATATTCAGTTAAACACAAAGTTTTGTTTAAATAAAGAAAACACAAGTTCCCCCTCTTCAGCAGGAACTGGTGGTTCAGTCCAATTATCCTCTTCATGTATTTAAGTCCATGTCACCATCTTTTGTTTGGCAACTCCCAGGGGTCGTGTAAGGTAAGAAACCAGTAAAAGAAACAAGAATTAGTCATGGCACAAACAAAAATAAACAATGAGTTGATGAAAATGCATGAGTAAACTGAATGTGTGCTTACAAATAGACCAAATTAAGCTAACCAGTAACACAAACTAAAGTTTCAATGTGGTTGGATGAATAAATAAATGGGTGCATGAGTTATCGACTTTACTGCAGTGTGGCCATGCGTTTGGCCATCACACTTGTGTCAGTTTCCCTTTAAATCGGAGCCACTTTTGTAAAGAACACGCATTTGTGGGTTGCGCACATGAAAAAAAATTGACAAATCTTCTCTGCAAAACAGCTTATTTTGCGGTTTGCTATTGACATTTGTTTTGAGCTTCTGGTACTCCAGGTYCACGCCATAAGATTTGTTGCCAAGAAGGGTTGTTACAAAAAAGAAATAATCTATCAAATGCAAATTTCCTTACTTTTTGTGTTTATATACGAGCTTGTATAAAGAAATTACAATAAATTTAAACAACCAATCTTTGTTTTAAATGTCATAAACCATTCTACCCTAATAAAAGTGGTTCAAATTATTCATTAACATCTCAGATCATCCCCAACATCAATGAATGCCTAATTAAATTTTGGCCCCTTCTGAAAGCCTTAAGGATAAAGTTTCTGTCAGCTTTGTTCATCCGCCCTGCTTCATCCGATGCTCTCAGCTCAGCTGGCCGACTGTAACCCGAGGCCTCACACATGTAGCCGTGTCTTTCATTTCACAACAAAAGCACTTTTTAAAATTTATTGTGTTTTTGAACAGCGCTTAACTGTCTCTTTCTCATCGCACAACCGATCAGAGCACAAACACGCTAAATCATTCATTCGGACTGCAAATAAGCTTCACATCATACTTTGAAGCTGTCCATTTTGATTTATTCATATGTGATTAAATTCAGATTCCAGGTTGAATCTCACCATYGCAGCGAGGAGCTGGTTTGAAACGGGGTAGAGGAGGTAGGGAAGAGAGCAGCCGCTTGGTATTCTGATGGTCCCCACCTCGTGAAAAGTTGATCCCCTGCTTCATCACAGAGCTCATATTCAAATCCTCTCTGGAGTCCTCTGCACAGTGAGAAACAAGGTATGGGCTGTGCACATTGTAAAACAAACAAAAAAAACCTCAAACACTTTCTAAGAACTGCTGTTCTGGTATTCCAACAAACTGTGTGTTTACTCCAGTCCTGCAAACATAAGATGCCAGAAACTGTCAGGGCTGGTGAGTGATCTCCACCTTTCTGTGGCTGTGAGACGGAAGTGAAGCTGAAAAGAAAATGTGCAGCTCCTAGTAGTGCAGTTAGGCAGCTGTTCAMATGCATCAACATGAATAAATGATGAACAACAGGACAAAGGTTAGTCTCTAACTGACCTGCTTCACTCACCTGTGTTTAAAATAGTAGTTTARATCATTTCAGGGGACATCACCAACRCACAAGTTAGCCTCAAAGCAACCATTTGTCCATCTAAAAGAAGGTATGAACATTTATCATGTAATTGTTCTGTCTTTTTATTTTGATTTTTTTTAAGCTTCCAAAAGTTCAGGGGCCAGTAGCCTCTAATTAAACAGAGTTAGCAGAGTGAAACACAAAGTGTAATCTGGTTTTTCTGCATTCATCAAAACTGACCAGAAAAGTGCAGCGTGTCCACTAAGGCAGCAATGCAAACGGAATAAATGAATGAATATCAGTCTGCAGTCAGTTCTCTGCAGTCCACAGACAGAAAGTCCACTTAAGAAGAGCAGCTTTGTAAGAAAAAAGCTTTGGCAGCTTAGTGTAATCTGCGTAGAGGAAGAGGAGGATGAGCCGGTCTTACCGTTGTTGTATTCACACCAGGAAAGTCCTTTTGATCCACTTGTTGGACCAAAAGCAGATTTTATTTTGTTTTGTTTGTTCTGGTTTGCATTCACATTGTGCTTTTTTTTTTTTGCAAGCGGTCTATAATTTATAAACAAAGCCACGCGGGTGACGATCATTGCTCCCATTGGTGGAAATTCCGGGGGGCAGGACAGAGGACAGACCCGGGAAGAAAGATGATGCCGTTAATACAATTGCAATATCATTTCAATATCAGCTCAGTCAACAGCAGTTTCACGTGGCTCGTGAAGTCAAATAAATAAATAAATAAATAAATAGTTCCTGTGGTTCAGTTCGAGGCAGGTGTGTGTTCACACTGGAAGCGAACCGAACCAGAGTTAGTTTGGAACCGAACCCAGAACACATCAAAAACAGGTCTCGGTCCGGTTGTTTGTTTGGTCCGCACCAGCAGGTTTGCATAAGTGTATTCACACCTGCAAGAGAAAACCTGAGAGGCACTAGTGTTATCAGGTAGTTGCTGAACCGACTGAGTGTCAGCTGCCCGAAAATTATATCTGAGGCAAATGCAATGAGCAAAGAAGTGAAATAAAATCTTAAAACACTCACCATCTTCTGTCACATTTTCCAAAAATGTCATGGTCAAAAACATTATGTGGTTGCGCAGTTCAAAAAAGAAAAGTTTGATTCTTGCAAAGAAGACACTCGTAGCTGATCTTGCCCTTTGGCAAATCAGTGACCTGCAGCCTGCTGATTTAATGTCTTCAGCACAACTTGGAATATCCTGAAAAGACTGAAGCCGTGTTGACTTTACCTGAGCCGAGCCCATGAAAATGGACCGTAAGTAGCATTCCTAAGAGGGAACACAATAAAATAAAAAAATGTGTAAATAAAATTCAAACAATGTAAAGGACTGAGTGTGAGAGCACAAGCATAATAACTTGAARATTTATCAGTGCATAGATCTGAAAAGCTTCAAACAGCACTGAGTCCTGATGAYTGACAGCAAGGAGACAGCAGCGTCTGACCAACACTGCCTCCTCCTGCCCAGTTCAACACAACAAGTCATGTACAACTAATTATAGATTTATTTATAACACATGCTTTACTTTTCTGAAAGTGTTAATTGCACTGCTAACTGTTCCTTGTTTACAAAAAACAATTGTGAAAATTAGAAATGTAATAATATTTTGAACAAAAAATAGTAATAAAAACACTGAAAATTTTTAAAACAAACTTTTAATAAAAAAACATAAAATTTGCTGTAAAACATGATAGTGTTTTTAAAAAATCTTATTCACTGCAGTTTAATAAGTTTGATGCATTAAAAAGGTCAATTTGTTTTTAATTCAATGAAAAGTATTAACCTTTTTGATTCGTGTTATTGTGTATTTCTATCTATTAAGTTTATATGATTCATTCATGTATATTCTGTTAATTTTTTTATCAGTAATGCAGGGTAGCAGGTATGTATCACATGCCAAGAATTTAAACAAAGATCTCATTTGATCTGTTGGTGCTCAAAGTTTGTGTTGTAGGATATTATCTACCACTGTGCCAAATTTTAATTCAAAATATGTCAAACTGACTGAGTGACAGACATTTTTCGTGAACACACACAAATATTAATACTCAGTGTCTTCAGTTGTTCCAGCTTTGTGGATGTAAAAGTGAATTGTATTACAGTCATTACACCAACAGAGGGTGACAATTTTCTGGGTTTTTCTCGGAGACTCATTGCACTTGTACRACACGACCTATTTCAAAACCACTTTCTGGCCTCTCCCTGTTAAGAATGTATGAGTCACGCTAACAATAATATTTCTTTAGTGTATAGAGCAAATTTCAGTTTTATTTCTGCTTGTCCTCACAAGCAGAGATAACTTCTGCATCTGAAACAGAAAGAAGTGCAAGCTTTTCGACTTCTGTTGGATATGCAGGTGTTCGGCGAGGTTCGAGTTGCCAGGAAGAGGAGGAAGTTTATCAGTGTGTGTGGAAAATCCACAGTGAGCTCCTAGGGCTAAATGAGCCTCACTTCTCTGTGGGTGAGAGTACAGCTGGAGAGATTATCCCATCCAACACGCGTCATCAGCGTCGCCTCACAACAGGGCTCCAGTTGCTCTGGATCTTTCGTGTGTGTGTGTGCGAGTGTGTGCGTACATTCAGTTCAATAATCAGCCCTGTCGGAGACGGCGGGTTGTGCGTTTATAAGCTGACCTGGAATTTTTTCAATAAGAGTTTAATCTTTAACGGGAAGCAACACAGTTTCTAAGAGTTTCTTTCTTGTTGTTTTCCTTCTTAACACATTCGATTTAGCTGCCCGATTATCTCAGTGAGCCTTTCACACCAACTATTCTGTCACTGTTTTGTTCTTGTAGGCGTATCTGACCTCTAGTTTAATCACAGTAAAATTATATATAGTTGCAAATGGAGAAACCAGCCTTCTGTACTCACTTTTGTAGTTGAAGCAGGAGATATTTAGCTTAGCTTTTAGCCCAGAGGCCAGAAATGTTGCGAAGCTGCTAGGGCGTCTTTTTTCAGCACTTAAATTCTTTTTTTTCCCTTTTTTTGTGTCACTTCAGTAGAAAACGAAACCAAATGTTAGTTTATTTAGATTATTTATTTCTTCATCATCAGTGACTTTTTTTAAGTGAAGAGAAAATGGAGACAGAGAGAAAAACAGAGAGAGAAGTAATTAGAAAGATAGAAAGATTGAAACAGCGATTAGAAGTATATTAAATATAAACCAACAAAACACAGGACCACACACCCAACATCTGTCCACTCACCTGAAAAATAAATGGATAAATACATGGAGGGCATATATAAATATATACACATACCCATACACATATAAAGATATACATACATTCATGCCTACATTCATAAATATTGTCAGTATAACACAGACATATATGCACACTCAGTGACCAGTCAGAACCCCTGGATCAGAGCACCTGT